CATTTTCTGTTATATTTTCAAACACACAAATGAAATATCTGACACATACTGTAGTTTAGCGAATGCAAACTCTGCAATAATATCAAATGAGGTATTGGTTTCTACCTTTATATAAAGAAATGTATACAACGTAATGAAGACACTTACTTTTACAGCAACATCATTTCCAGTGTGATTTTCTGCATGCGAACTCTGCTTTAACTTGCTCAGCATCAGGGACGCGCTAGTTGAAAAACACTCCCATTGCAGAGACAAATGTTACGATTGGTCGTTAAACGGAACGGTGTTGTAATCACTAGCCTACGTAAGCCAACAAAGGTGAAAATAGAATTACAAGGAAAAAATTTTTAAAAAAGTCTTAATTAAGAGTTTCGAAGTCGGTACTACGGGGAAAAGGTCGTAAAAACGACCTTCAAAAGTTTTTATAACGAGAAAAAGAACTCGTTTTTACAACATTCAAAAGTTAAAATTGCGACTTTCAAATAACGACTTTAAAAACTCAAAATAACGGCTTTCTTTCATTTGTGATCGTCTTTATTACTTTTTTTTCCTTCCAATTTAATTTTGACCTCTGTCGCTTTCGTACTTACCTTTAAAGGCATAAAAGGCATGACCATGTTCAATGCATATCAATGATTTCTTCAAAACCTTTTTAAACTTATCACAATGACATGTGGACAAATATTTAAGGCATCTGTCGAAAACATCTTATTCTATAGAATCTAACATTTTATCCTTTCATATATAAATTAGATGAAAACTTTTATTTAATTTACATCCCTGACTGTACGGATCAACATCAGTACCTGTATTAATACTATAATACGACTTTAATTTACATCCCTGGCTGTACCGGTCAACATCAGTACCTGTATTAATGCTATAATACGACTTTAATTTACATCCCTGGCTGTACCGGTCAACATCAGTACCTGTATTAATGATATAATACGACTTTAATTTACATCCCTGGCTGTACCGGTCAACATCAGTACCTGTATTAATGATATAATACGACTTTAATTTACATCCCTGACTGTACCGGTCAACATCAGTACCTGTATTAATGCTATAATACGACTTTAATTTACATCCCTGGCTGTACCGGTAAACATCAGTACCTGTATTAATGCTATAATACGACTTTAATTTACATCCCTGGCGCTACCTGTCAACATCAGTACTTATATTGAATTTTTCAACTCTGTACACATGATAGACCTACTTTGAGGTGAAAGGATTAATGTTATAATAACAATAATACTTCCCTGACTGTACCGGTCAACATCAGTACCTGTATTAATGCTATAATACGACTTTAATTTACATCCCTGGCTGTACCGGTCAACATCAGTACCTGTATTAATGCTATAATACGACTTTAATTGACGTCCCTGGCTGTACCGGTCAACATCAGTACCTGTATTAATCCCTGGCTGTACCGGTCAATATCAGTACTTATATTAATGCTATAATACGACTTTAATTTACGTCCCTGGCTGTACCGGTCAATATCAGTACTTATATTAATGATATAATACAACTTTATTTTACCACCCTGCACCGGTCAATATAGAACTTTAATTTACATTTTTCACTATAGCGGTCAACATCAGGACCAATGCTATAAAATACGAGGGATGTTCTAAAAGCATTGCTTATTTCTATCTGGAGACTTCAAATGTCAAGTTAGCCCAAAAGTGCTCATTTCATGCCCTCGAAGTACTCCCCATGGCTAGAATTGCCAAGTTTCAGCCGATGTATCCACTTCCTGAATGCGTTACTGTACGCTGATTTGGGTACAGTAATAAGATACTGATGAATGACAGCTCCAAGTGCTTGTCGGGACGTGTATTTCCGCCCGGCGATAAATGATTTCAATTTCGGAAACAAAAAGAAATCACATTGGGCAAGGTCTGGGGAATACGGGGGGGGGGGGGGGGGGGGGGGGGCAAAGCAGTTACTTTTTCTTTCTTCAAAAACGCCGTAACTATCGCGGTGGTATGAGTGGGGGCATTGTCATGTAGAAGACGGATATGTTTAAAACCAGTGGCAGGGCGTCGTTTTTTATAATACTTTTTCAGTTTCGTCAGTACTACGTCTTTGTAGTACTTTCCGGTGATGCTTTTGCCCGTTTTCACATGCACTTCTATTGCGGCTCCTACAACAGAGAAGAAAACTGCATACAAATCCTATTTTACACTCAAAGACCGTTTGACTATTATTGGGCGTTTGCTGTGTTTAGTGGCCCAGATCTTATTGCTAACCTTTCTGACAGACTCAAAATAATGGACCCAAGTTTCATCACCTGTTACGACATTGGCAAACTGCTTTTTGTCATATTTTGGAAACATTTGAAGCAGCTTTTTGGCCGCTTTAACTCGTTTCCTCTTTTGCTCATCAGTCAACAAACGTGGCACCCGTCTAGCAGAAATCTTTCTAACTTTGAAATGCTTCTTCAAAATAAAGTGAACCGTTGATAGTGATATGCCTACCTTTCGTGCAATATCACGAACTGTAAATCTGCCATCTCCAATACTTTCCTTTATTTTGGAAACGATTTCTTTACGAGATGCAGATTTTGGCCTACCTGATTTTGGTGCATTTTTGATGGACTCTACACCTGACTCAAATTTCTTTTTCCACCCTCTAACTGTGTAATAAGACACACAAGAAGGTCCATAAGCAGTAGAAAGTTCAGTCATCAGTTGCTTCATAGAACAACCAAGTTTTGAGCGAGCTTTGATGTAAGCCCGTATTTCATCTTTCTTTTCTACGCTTCTACCAGCTATTTTAACTACAGTGGTCAATGACTGCTACTGCGTGTATTCAAATGGCAAATTTTATGTCTTATACTTAGTCTTAAATGTACATTTATACACCGTTGTGTAGATATCGAATAACAGTATACACGTATGTATTGGTTTTTATCGTGCCTCACGTGGAGATTGAACATCCCTCGTAATTATATTTTATAATTATAATGAATAACTCTAATGGGTTGAGTTAAGAGGATCTTTTAATGGAACTTTGACTTGTAATATTAAGTATTATTAAGTATAATACAACTTTTGGTGTTTTTTTTTTACAAGAGAGTCTCAATTCATGTTTGAAAAGTAGAGTCTAATACCAAATATTTTGGATTAATATACCCCCCCACCCCCCCCCCCCCCCCCCCCCCCCCCCCCACACACACACTCTTTTTTTTATTAGCAGCAAAATATTATTAACAGTGTGCAGTTCACGGGGAAAATTACAACAGATAGCACCAGAACAGGAAGTGTAATCAATGCACATGCGTAGTGTTGTACTTTCGGTTTGATCAACTTACATGCGCAGTGATTTACTTTCGGTTTATAAATATATGTATGTTATCGTATCTACATACATGTATAGCTAGCCGGCGTGGTATTTAACTCTACAAGAGCTTCGTTTTTTTTAACTAAACATCGACACGGATAATTTCTTTCTTTGTGTACAGCATAATATATTGGCTGACTTTAAGTTACATTTAGAGAGGACTTAATTGAGGTGAATGAGTATTGCAATAAGTAGAAGTGAGGCGAGGCCCGTGAGGCGAACCATTATACTACAGGAATGTGACTGACATGTGATCATTATCTATTTTTCTCTAATTTTATATAAATTTTACCGATTAGTGGTCATTTAATATCCTTCTATCCTTAATAGTGATGGAATATTATTGGTAAATGACCATTATCCTTTTAGTCCTAATATTACAAGAATCTTGTATTGATTGCATCATAACTGTATTGTGTGTTCTAGATACCTCAATATATATAACTTATGAACTAAAAACAGTTAAGAAATATTGTGTTTCTACTGCTTCAAGTAGCTTTTATATTTATTCTGGGATATCTGCGGGTTAATTTTCTCAAAACATAATAGAATGTCGGAACAATTGCCGTGGGTACAGTATTTTGATGCTGATCATGTTACTGACCCCTACCATGGCCAGGTTTCTGATCCTGAGGACTGCAATGACATTATTCGTGAATTCTGCTACCAGACATCCACTACGTACTCTGTGACAAGATGTACGAAGAATTTTGGACATTTTAGTCTTGGTAAGTCATTCAAGTAGAAATGATAGGAATATTGAGGACTGTGATAAATTTCTGATATTCTGAGGACAGAAGTGTACACCATTTCAAGACAAACATGTAACATCAGGAATATTCCCAGTACTTTTAGGTACCGCAGTCCTTAGTCTACATGTGCACTGTTATGTGATTCGATCAACAAACAAATTTTCTGACAGGATCAGGGTTTGTATACATGAAGTTTCTGTTATGAAGTGTATTTAAGGTTTGTAGTCACCATGAGAATTTTAATGTGAGGTAGCGTTTAAAGATATCTTTTAATACATATATAAAATTTGTTGTCTTGATCAAGGGGAAGTTTCACATACACATTTAGTAAGTACAATATTTATCTACTAATATGTATTTGTACCAACTCATCAGAGAACTTCTGCTTAAGGAAGTTAAATCATGCAGTTAAACAATAGTGAAGTAACAGTTTGGTGTATATATATGTATTTTGTAATGTATATTTACTGTCTGCAGAACTTAATGGAGTTGAAGACCATTTTGTTCGATTCAAAGATGAAGGAAAGGTTGCCCACCAGTGTGACATTCCATCAAATGGTGCACCTTTTATGATAGTGGGCCTAAAACTGATGGAATGTCATCAAGGCCCTCAGCACAGGACCAAAAAAACAAAAGTAAGACATTTTCTATTACAAGCAAATCAATATCAATTTCATTATGTTGGATTAGTTTATATTATACATTTTTTAACAAACAATTAAATAAAGTAATGTAAGAACAATCATGTGGAGGTTAGACTTATTTAAGGGTCAGAGTATAACCTCATTGATGACATACTTTTTTAGGACACCAATCAAAGCCAGGTGGGAGAACATGGCTATAGCTTGCTGTCAAGCAGGAAGAGGCTGACAGGTACAAAAAAAAAAGGATGTCCTGCGGCTATAGTAATGAGGGAAGTCATTCATTTCGACCAGTACAAGGTATCAAATTGTCTTTAACAGTTCTGGTAGTTGTCAGTAAAAGTGAAGAAAATCAAAAATTAATCACCATCAAAACTTTAATTAAAAAAAAAATGTGGTAAGGATACATATTTCAATTACCGGGTATCAATGCAATTCATTTGTGATTTTTTTTACATTGCCAACATTTTTCCTAAATTCCAATATTTCTGTCTAACCTAATACATCTTACATACTAATATCTAGTAATACCAATACATATTTGTAGCACTGACATGATCCCCAGTCATTTTGTCAAAAATAGATAATGTCATTGAATAATATCTACTTTTTGATGTTGAGTATACATTTTGATCCATTCAATTTTGCTAGGTTCCACAGGATACAAGGTACTGGCGTGAAGGTATGTCAACAAAACTGAGAAATGACCTTCATTCATCCTGCTATGAGCAGGTTGAACAACGCAAAGTCATATATATAGATCTCCCAAAGGAACACAAAAATCACATCCTGGGAATGGTAAGTATCAAGTATAGGCCATATATATGTGTTATATATTCTTGTAAAAAGCTAACAATCATACTTGTAATTTATATTAATCATTTTTGAAAATGCAATTACAAAAGAAATAGAATATTCTCTTTGGATAATTCAATCATATGTACATTTCTATATAAAATGCAATATATCAATGATTAAACAAAAAATATTCTATAAGTTATCATCTAAATATTAAAACAGATCTACTGTACTCTCTCCCATCATTGTCTGGTTCTATCTGTTGTCATTTCAATATTACAACAGATACAACCAGATCTACATTCTCTCACATAATTGTCTGGTTCTATCTGTTGTCATTTCAATATTACAACAGATACCACCAGATCTACACTCTCTCACATCATTGTCTGGTTCTATCTGTTGTCATTTTAATATTACAACAGATACAACCATATCTACACTCTCTCACATCATTGTCTGGTTCTATCTGTTGTCATTTCAATATTACAACAGATACCACCAGATCTTCACTCTCACACATCATCGTCTGGTTCTATCTGTTGTCATTTCAATATTACAACAGATACCACCAGATCTACATCCTCTCACATCATTGTCTGGTTCTATCTGTTGTCATTTCAATATTACAACAGATACAACCAGATCTTCACTCTCTCACATCATTGTCTGGTTCTATCTGTTGTCATTTTAATATTACAACAGATACAACCAGATCTTCACTCTCTCACATCATTGTCTGGTTCTATCTGTTGTCATTTTAATATTACAACAGATACCACCAGATCTACAATCTCTCACATCATTGTCTGGTTCTATCTGTTGTCATTTTAATATTACAACAGATACCACCAGATCTACACTCTCTCACAGCATTGTCTGGTTCTATCTGTTGTCATTTCAATATTACAACAGATACAACAGATACCTCTCACATCATTGATCTGTTGTCATTTTAATCTCACACACTCTCTCACATCATTGTCTGGTTCTATCTGTTGTCATTTCAATATTACAACAGATATCTGTTGTTGTCATTTTAATATTACAACAGATACCACCAGATCTCTCACACATCATTGTCTGGTTCATCTCTCTCACATCATTGTCTCTGGTTCTATCTGTTGTCATTTTAATATTACAACAGATACCACCAGATCTACACTCTCTCACATCATTGTCTGGTTCTATCTGTTGTCATTTCAATATTACAACAGATACCACCAGATCTTCACTCTCTCACATCATTGTCTGGTTCTATCTGTTGTCATTTCAATATTACAACAGATACCACCATATCTACACTCTCTCACACCTTTGTCTGGTTCTATCTGTTGTCATTTCAATATTACAACAGATACCACCATATCTACACTCTCACACATCATTTTCTGGTTCTATCTGTTGTCATTTCAATATTACAACAGATACCACCATATCTACACTCTCTCACACCTTTATCTGGTTCTATCTGTTGTCATTTCAATATTACAACAGATACCACCATATTACAACAGATACCACCAGATCTTCACTCTCTCACATCATTGTCTGGTTCTATCTGTTGTCTATCTGTTGTCATTTTGTCATTTCAATATTACAACAGATACCACCATATCTTCACTCTCACACATCATTGTCTGGTTCTATCTGTTGTCATTTCAATATTACAACAGATACCACCAGATCTTCACTCTCACACATCATTGTCTGGTTCTATCTGTTGTCATTTCAATATTACAACAGATACCACCAGATCTTCACTCTCACACAATATTACAACAGATACCACCAGATCTTCACTCTCACACATCTCTGGTTCTATCTGTTGTCATTTCAATATTACAACAGATACCACCAGATCTCACTCTCTCACATCATTGTCTGTTCTATCTGTTGTCATTTCAATATTACAACAGATACCACCAGATCTACACTCTCTCACATCATTGTCTGGTTCTATCTGTTGTCATTTCAATATTACAACAGATACCACCAGATCTACACCCTGTCACATCATTGTCTGGTTCTATCTGTTGTCATTTCAATATTACAACAGATACCACCAGATCTGTCTGGTTCTATCTGTTGTCATTTCAATATTACAAGTCATACAACACCAGATCTAGATACCACCAGATCTACACTCTCACATCATTGTCTGGTTCTATCTGTTGTCATTTCAATATTACAACAGATACCACCAGATCTACACTATCTTACATCATTGTCCGGTTCTATCTGTTGTCATTTCAATATTACAACAGGTACTACCAGATATACACTCTCTCACATCATTCGCTGGTTCTATCTGGCTTTCATACTTGATATCACTGTTCCTTGTGACAAAACCTTTCCGTTAGTACATTTTATAACGATTTTTGATTATGTGAGACAAAAGCAGCCAGCGGGGCCCTTCCTGACTTTGGTAGTTTGCTAGTATAGTTATTGTTATGTCATGTGATGTACTTTGTCCTCTTGTAGGCTGCTGATTTAAAATCCCCAATTGATGAAAGAGTTCTGAAGAAAATTTGTAAGCTTGTAGATGAAGGGGTCTATAATCCAAAAGAAATGCATCGACACCTTAAGATCTACATAAAAGATCTCTTCAAAGACCGAGAGTTGCCCAGAGTCACAAATCGGCGATTTTATCCAAGCAAAGATGACCTCAGAAAAATTATATATCGGCAGAGGCGCAAAACATTGCACAGCCTGATTGACCAGGAAGACCTGGAAGAGAAAATACGTGTGTGGCAAGAGGAGCGTCCAGATGACATGTGGACTTTCCGAAAGTCATCATTTGTGAAGCGTCCTGTCATTGAAGATGACTTTGAAGAGGATGGTGGCTGCTTTGTTGTAAATGAAGATCAGTCTTTCCTAGTCATTTACCAGTCTTCCTGGCAGAGAAGATTGCTTTCACGGTATGGAAAGGAGCTTGTGTATCTGGATGCCACATACAGAACCACAAAGTATGCATTGCCATTGTTTTTTCTGTGTGTTCAGACAAATGATGGCTTCTGTGTTGTTGGTGCTTTCATCACAGAAAGAGAAGACTCCATCTCAGTAGCAGAAGCTTTACAAGTCATCAAGGATAACAATCCAAACTGGACCTGTAAAGGTTTCATGATAGATTCCTCTGAGGTAGAAGCAAATGCCATTCAGAATGTTTTCCCAGGTCAGTTTTATGTTTATCTTAGGTGTGAACATTCATGTGACCTAACTTTTTCCATATTGTGCCTGTATGTCAGGCAGGAATATAATAAAAAAGAGTTGTTTTTTTCTTAACAAAAAAACATGTCCTGTAAGACTTAGATTGCTTTCATAGACATTGTAAGTGGCAACTGGAATAATAAAGAAGCTGCAGGAAGATCCTGTTGCATGTAGTCTTAAATAACAGAAATAAATTTAAAGCTGAAATGTAACATTATTATCTTTAATATGTTAACAGGTTCAAACATCTTCATATGCGACTTTCATAGAAAACAAGCCTGGCACAGATGGTTGGTTGCCTCAAAGCATGATGTGACAAGTCAAGATCAAACTTCAGAGTTATTAAATGTAAGTTTATGCCTGAATAGATCAGCAATTAATTCAACATGTAAATATCATGTACACATATCTAATTTAGGACAGAGCTTAGGGTTTATTAACAAATGTTGATTTGAGAGAAAATTTTATGTTTTAGTCAGTGGCAGAGTCATTTACTGAAGCTGATTTCAACAAGAATTTGAAGAACCTTCATGACAGTGAAATATGGAAGAGTCAGCCAAAGCTTCGTCAATATATCAATGGGCAATGGCTAGCCAATGATAAACACAAGGTAATATTAATTAATAAAAGATCGAAGCACAGCAATATAATTTTGTATACATTGTAGTAAATAAGGGATACTTATACTATTCATTACCTCTGTAGCTAGGCAGTGTAGACCAATGATATACTGTAAACAAACATTTTCGTGTGCGATTTATTTTCGCTAATTTCCCGTTGAATGAAAATTTGCAAAAATTAATTGCTGTGAAATAGTTTCAATATGACAGGTATTTACCGAAGCCAATACGCTTGAGTGATTTTAACTTGGACGGTCACAAAATTAAATTGGCCCAATTAGACTTTGAAAACGCGAAATGAAGTTGCCACGAGTATTTGGTACGGAAGGACAAGTTAAGGAGTTTGTAACTTGATCTGCTCCGAAAAGAGTTTGACTATTATGATTACTGTATATCATAAGAAGCCTAAGACTGTGAATTATAGCGATAACAGTAACTCCAGATGCTGTTTTTGATTTACCTGTCTTTCCATACTTTCATACATCCAAGTAGAAGCCTTCTGCTTGAGACATTTCTTGATTATCATGACAAATTCCACAGATCACATGATTTTTAGCTGATCTTTGATTAATAATCCTCAACATGAGTAGATACATGCCAGTTTTGAAATATTTTTAGTTTATTCTAATTTCCTCTGTTTTAAAGATGTGGGTGTGGGCCTATAGAGGAGATGGTCTCACTCTGGTTGTAAACACCAACAATGGTGTTGAAGCACAGAACAAGGTGTTTAAGTATGAATACCTTGCATCACTACCCATGAAGACTGTGTCCAGTCTGATGACCCTCCTTGTAGACGATTTTTTCGTGGATTCATATCGAAAGTAAGTCACGATGTGGTTTTGATATGTGTTGTCAACCAGATACTGGCCATAGTGTTGACCTGTGTAACTTGTTAAAAAAATAATTACCCATATTTTCAGACTTTCAGAAAGAATTTGAAAGAATTAAGATAATTTTTTGGACTTAAGCTTTTGTAATAACAGTGTTCAAACATAACATGGAACATTATACAAATGCATACAAATGTGATAACTATGCAGTAAACCCTTTAAAATACCTTGTCACCCCTGAAGGGCAATAATTAGATACTACATGACTCTAGGTTGGCAGCACTGCATGTATGTCTCTTCATAAATAAAACATGGCATATATTTTACATTTAATTCAAAGCTTTTCAGGGATTCTTGTAGCGAGAAAAAAAATAAATGAAAACATGATAAGCAGATTAAAAAAAAAACAAGTACTGTTTGATTTGTGTAGCTCTTTTGAATGAAGTCACTTTGCTATCTGCTTGATTAGTTTTTGAATTAGTATAATATAATAAGGAATATTTAATGCTTTCTTCACATACCGATATAAATGTTTGAAATTTCAGTATTTTTCAATGTTTTGGTAAGTAATACTAGTATTTTGTAAAAACTGTGTGCCTTGGTGTCAGCTTTGCTTGGTGTCTGGTGTGATTCATCTCTATTCACATTTTCCCATTTCCTCACTCATCACTTTATATTTCAGTTCTGCAATAGAGTGCTGCATATCCCAATTTCTTAGGTGTCAAAGCTGTGAACCTCATTCATCCCTTAAACATACGGCATGGTTGTGAGTGTATGTGTATTGCCAAAGAACCAAACCAAAATCCACTGACATGCATCTCGTATAGTTTGAATATGCGGCACTCTACTGAATAATTCATTTTAACAGTATTTCTGATCACCATTTATCTACCCCATCAACTCACCAAACATCTGTATAATATCACTCTTTTTACTTCCATTCAACACTTTAAGTACAGTTTCTCTCAGACTAGTAATTCTTTTTAAGCTGAAATGGTTATGGGTTTTTGTTATAATAATCCAAAGGAAGGAAAGCAAGTGAATATAAAAAAATCAGTGTTGAATATAACTCTTAAAATGAACCCCCTAAAGGAAACCTGCAGATTGAGAATTTACTTGTTATTTGTGTTTGGTGTTGTATATGTATTAATCCACCATCCAATGTCAAATATGACCAAAATCATGTGTTATGCACTAATAATCAGAAATGTCCTATTTGATGTTATTACTGCTGTTACATGAATTGAAGATTGTTTGTTACAGTGTGCTTGCCTTGTTATTTAACTGTTACTGCCAATCATTCTGTTTGTAAACTTGTAGGATTTTTTAACTAGAGATTAACCAATAATACCTATTGCTTAATAAAATAAGGTAACAAAAGCAATTAATGAAATGATTCATTGAAGTACAAGCATATTCTGCTTACTATTTCTTAAGCCAAATTACCGGCGGGTAATGACGTTTTGTTGAATTACTCAGACAAGTATGTAAATACGATGCGCTGACATGGTAAGTCTGTTAACCTAATGATGCTCCACACCAAAGACAAGTGAGATTAATGACATATGGTATAGAATTTCATAGACATGTCACTCCTGTTTATTTTATGATATAATATTGAACATTTTGCAGTGTATATTACACATAAAAGAATTAGGATAAAATGAGGATATAATTAGGATAAACTTTTCTCTCAATATCATCAATACCAGCATGCATTTTACATTCCGCAATCTTAGCTCCTACCATTGCTACGGTTTCAATTAATTTACCTGTAAATATTTTACCTTTTCCAGATATCTTCAGAGCAATGTTACCATGTCAGCTGGTTGGAGGGAGCCATCTGTCTCCATTCCAAAAGAGCTCCACCACCGACCCAGGTACTTTGTACAGCACATCAGGGATGCCACACAAAAGTGTGCAGACATCACTGCCAGCATGATCACCTCGGTGACAGATACAGAGTTTCTAGTGCAGTCAGCTAGCCATCAGTCACGTGTCTACAGAGTCAGTTTGGGTGGAGAATCCATTATGCCATCTTGTGAGTGCAGGGAATTTATGAAAACACATCTTCCTTGCAAACATTTCTGTGCTTTGATGTGCCATTTTGCAGGTGATATTACTTGGAACTCCTTGCCAGAATTCTACATAAACAACCCTCATTTCATCATTGATGAGGATTGTGTAAACCTGACAGAGTTCCAAGATACCCCTCAGGAATCCCAAGGAAATACCACACCAGCTCCATGCCAGGCTAGAGAGGACATAGAAGTCAAAGACCAGAAGCATCCTCATGGGCCTTCACTAGGGGAGTCTGCCAAGCGGGTCAGGGAGCTGCTGCAGTATATCCGTAACCTTTCCTACATCGCAGATTCTATGGAGGTGATGGAGGAAGTGAGGGAGCAGCTGTCAGCAATAGCTGATCAACTGAGACAGAAATGTCCAGCTAGTGGAACTTTGCTTTTGGAGCAGCCTGCACCAGCCAAGATCTTTACTAAAAAGAGAAAATTTCCCAACAACAAAGAGTCTTTGAAACAGTTACCAACTAGGGCCAAGAGAAGACGTACTACCAAACGTTAGTATAATGAACACTGATTTCAGGCAATACCTGTACTTTCATTTGCAAGAAGATATGCACTGATGATTTGTTACCATAACTGAGACTAGTAGTCTAAATAAATTTCTTTTTAGGTCATCTAACCATAAAGTTTAAGATGATATGCATCAGCTGTCATTGTGTGCCATTCTTTATGCACCAAACAGAATCTTTTCCCCTTCAAACAACTTCTTCTCAAGAACTGAAAGGTTAGAGTATTAATATTAGGCCTGTATTTCTGGACGAAGGGCTATATATTAAACGAAGTTAAATTTTTTCATATGAATGACCTTGAACTACTTCAAATTCACCAGGATGAAAAATGATGAAATCTGGCATGATGCATGCTGGGATGATAACGTCATTCATTTGAACAAACTTGGTAGGGCTTCATCCCAGCTTGCTACAAGCGAAATATCAGAAGCCTGGGCCTTCTAGTTATAGAGAAGAAGTTGGTTGAATAGAAAAGTTGACGCCAGACGGACGGCCGGACGACGGACGCTGCACCACGGCATAAGCTCACTTGCCCTTCGTGCAGGTGAGCTGAAAACCGCAACTCCTTATGATATTGA